GAGTGAATAAATGAATGAGAATTGGAGAGACAGCTTGTCATTGGCTTGCAAAACAGAGCTTTCCACTTGCTGGCAGCATATGAGAAAACTTCAGGCTTCATTTCTCAGATCTTTCTTCTAAACCATGTCCCGCCCCCTGCACGTTATACTCTGTTAACCACAGAAGCCCAAAGTCCATCCATAACTAACCTGAACCTCTGCTCTCACCATCTCTCTCTCTGAGAAGTGGTGGATGCATGAGGGACGATGGAGCAGGGCAGCAGCCGCTTGGAGGACTTCCCTCTCAATGTGTTTTCCGTCACTCCTTACACACCCAGCACCGCTGACATCCAGGTGTCGGATGACGACAAGGCAGGGGCCACCTTGCTCTTTTCAGGCATCTTTCTGGGACTGGTGGGGATCACGTTCACCGTCATGGGCTGGATCAAATATCAAGGCGTCTCCCATTTTGAATGGACGCAGCTCCTTGGGCCAATCCTGCTGTCAGTCGGGGTGACCTTCATCCTGATTGCTGTGTGCAAGTTCAAAATGCTCTCCTGCCACTTGTGCAAAGAAAGTGAGGAAAGGGCTCTGGACTCGGACCAGACACTGGGAGGACAGTCGTTTGTTTTCACTGGCATCAACCAACCCATCACTTTCCACGGGGCCACGGTGGTGCAGTACATCCCTCCTCCTTACGGCTCTCAGGAGGCCATGGCCATGAACACCACCTACTTGCAGCCCGTGGTGAACCCTTGCGGCCTCCTACCCTCTGGCATGCCGAGCCCTCCTCAGTACTGCACCATCTACCCCCAAGATAACACTGCATTTGTGGATGACGAGGACTACCCTCCTTTCGTGGATGGTGAGACCAACAGGTACGGTGTGGGCCGGGGAACGCCTCCCTTTAGCACAGCCCTGGCCTACGGCTGTTTGGTCTGTTGTCCAGGATGGTGGCGTTGGTTCTGTGAGCGGCACTCTGGGCAGTAACACGTCTGTGTGCTCTGTTCACGTTTCAGCCTCAGTCCCAACGTGGATCAGCCAGAAGAGACACAGCTGGAAAATGACGACTGTGCCTGCTTCTCTCCTCCTCCCTATGAAGAAATCTACTCCCTCCCTCGCTAAGGGGGAAAGCATTTCAGCCACTGTGACCTGGCAGCTGAAGGGTCTGTGCTGTGACCTTCAGAAGTTAGTCAGAAGGGCAGACCTGGCAGCCTGGCAGATACCCTTCGAGGGGAGAGGAAGCGGGGAGGGAAAATGTCTCATATTGGTGAAAATCAGGCTGGGCTAAGGAGCTCCTCTCCTGTGCAGTTTTGAATCCCTCCGGTAAGAAATCTCTGCACCAGTTCGGAAGCAGGAATCTCACCTGTCTATACCCGTCAACCCCCTGTAGGAAGGTACTGGTATCTCAGTTTCAACTCTAGCAGCCAAATGAAAAGTCACCACCTTTGGATAATCAGGGAGTTTCCATTGTGCTGAGAACAGGAGTGTGAAGGGGTCAGGGAAGAGAAAGCAGGTGAAGCTGGAGAACTTCCCAGCACCTATGACAACTTGGTTGCCGTATGGTTCCCTTAAAGACGCTGGGTATCTTAAAGGCTGCAATAACATTAATACGATGGACTAAAATAAAACTAAAGAATGTTGGGATCAGCAGGTGGCCTGGTCGTTAAGGCACTGGTCTCCCACATAGCTGACTATGGTTCAAGTCCTGGACCTGGTGGTTTGCTTTTCTTCTTTCCCTTTCTCTCTGTCTCTCTCTGGTCAAATTAAATAAATAATGATAACAAAAGTAAACACATAATTACTTTTAAAAAATAAATAATGTCTTCTGTTAGAGCAGTATTGGAGAGCTAAAGAAATAATAGCAATGTAATAATATGAATACTCTTTCGGTTATTGCTGAACCACAGTGACTCTTGGCTGCCAATGGTCTCTTATGTAAAGCTGAAGCTTGGTGTATGGTATACATGATGCGTGTCGGTCCACCCCAAGCTGCGGTCTGTGCTGTACAGAAACTAACAGGGCCCACTGGCTGCAGAACACAGACCATTCCCAGAACCCATAGCTCTGCTGACTAATCAGGGAGAGTGGCCTTATCAATACCTAAAAGATCACAAATTATGGAAACCATCTTCTGTTTTATTTATTTATTTTTAATTGCTAGAAGGTACATTCTCTTGCCAGAGAGAGACAGAGAGGGAGAGAGAGGAAACACTTCCTAAAGAGGTGTGGTCACAACCCCTTCTCCTCCATGTCCCAACCTTGTTGGGATTTAGGGCACTCACCCACAAGCACCCTGGCTGTTTTCAATCCATCGGGGCTGAGATTTGAGTTTGGTCAACAATGTGGAATCTAGCTCCCTTAACCACTAGGCTTCAGGGCTGGCCCTGGAAATAATTTCAATGGCTAAGATAAGCTCAGTTTCTTTATCAAACTAACAAACAAAAAACCAGCTTTGGAATCCTCAATCTCCCTGAATCTGGATTGTGTAATAAACTGGAACAGACTCACAGACTTTAGACCAGACTATTAAAGCCACTGGGTCCTAAAAGAGAATATTTTCCTTAGGCTACAAAGGTAAGGACACTCAGGGAAGGGTTGCTCATCCTGAAAGCAGACAGAAGATTTAGCAATTCTTTTTTTTTTAACTTTTTTTTTAAATTTTGTTTATTCATTCATTCATTTTTTAAAAAATTTTGACCTGTCAGAGAGAGAGAGAGAGAAGGAGAAAACAGGTCACAGAGAGAGAGAGGAAGAGAAAGAGGAAAAAAGTGAGAAAGCAAGTCACCAGGTCCAGGACTTGAACCATGGTTGGCCATGTGGGAATGTCCAGTGCCTTAACCACCATGACACCTGGTGGTCCCAACTTAGCAATTCTTTAAAGTTCTGTAACCATGTTTGGGTGTAGAATGATTTTTACTATTAATAATTTTCATCATGAGTATCTAATTTTCCACAGATATGAATAAAAATGGTATAATATTGTGATATATTGTATCTTAGGGACAAAAGCTTTTTATATCTATTTTCATGATGACAGATGATTGGAAATAGGATTCAGTTTACAGAAACTAGCTTTATATTAAATCTGTTCATGAAATACTAGATTCCTAGCTGAGGGCCATCAGTTTGGGGAGGCAGTTTGGTGACAAGGACATGTTTAAACATCACAGTAGCATGCCAACTGGCAAATGAGACTTGGGGCCCAGCGCACCTGCCGTCCTCAACCCTTTTCATCTCACCCCATGGTTTATATTCATGGATTTGGGTTACGATGAACATCAAGGGTAGCTCAAAGAGAAAAAGATGTTAGGTAAGGCCATCGTGTGTGCAAGCCCGGAAGGGCAGGACAGCCAGCTTGTCCTGGAGATGCTGAGGGAGCTGGGTATGCAGCGAAGTCGTCTCGGGGCATTTCTAGCTGCAGACAGTGGCAGCACTGTGCAGAGGGAACGTGCTAACCTAGGGGCCATTTATGCTTCCGAAGATAGGGCTTCAGGGGGAACGACTTCAGGAGCTCAGGGTGCAAGCGGGGCTCTAATAGACAGAAGATCAGAAAACGGAACTCTGTTCCCTCGTTCACTCAGTGCGTATTTACCGAGCCCCTACTCTGTGTCCGCTCTGAGCCATCCAGTGGGAACACAGTGAAAAAAATCACACCAACCAAAGAGCAGCTGTGGTGTCTGCACGCACGGAGCTTCTCGTCAATGGGAGAGACGGACACTAATGAATTGTTCATTTCCTCTGATACCAGTGAGGAATCCTGGAGCTCTGTGAGGGTTTGGATTCATCACAGGGTCATGAAGCTTGCTTGGGGAAGTGAAGTCACGGCATTGCCCCGGGGAACCCCAGGGGTACTGTTCACAGTGAAACCAAGCGACGGGTGTCTGTGGGCCTGGGAGGGCTGGGCTGGGAGCTGAGGGGACAGAAGCGGTCTGGGAGACAGAGAGGAGGGGCAGCTCTGGTAGGAGGCAGAACTGCGGGTCTCTCACAGCCCTCCAACAGAGCTGCCTTCTAGTACCCAGAAATGACATCCCAGGCTTTCTTGTCCTGAGCCACCTGTGCTCCTGTTTCTTTATTTGGGAGTGCAGGGACCAATGCTCTGGGAAGCCAACTGAGTGGCTCCTGGACTCTGACCACCAGGTCCTGGCTCAGCCTCTGACCAGCAAGGCACATTCCTGACAGTTTCTGGTTATTGTCAGGATAGTTGCCTTTTATCACTCTGTCAGTGTCTTATCAAGGGTGAAGAATGGAAGAATGCGATCTGAGAATCTCCTGGCTCTGCTTCCCACCTTCGCTTACCAGAGAGGAAAGTAGCCCTAAATTGCCAGGTGCTCAAGGGACCAGAACCCATGAGAACCCTTGTCAGTCTTGTCAGATATTTTGGGCTTTGTCTAAAGAGCAATTGGGAAGGCATGGAAGTGGTATTTTTGTTTTGCTTTATTTGTTTGAGGGATTTTTTTGCTATAGGGTGTGTGCATTTGCTGGAGAGACAGAGGGATAGAAAAAAAATCACTACCCCGGGAGGATGATCACACCGCAATTCCTTCTCTTGGGATTTTGGGCATGCATGCACATGTGCTCGGTGTGATTTTAAGGTCTCTGGATCCAGAACTCAAACCACAGTTGACCAAATGGAAGTCTAGCACCTTAACCACTATGCCACCTCCTGGCCCCACCATGGAAATGTTTTAATGAAGAGGGAACTGTGATTAGATTGTGAACACTTTCTGGTTAGAGCAAAACCAGAAAGCAGTCGTAATATTGACCTTGCGAGTGAAGTTCAGAACTAAGTGACCAGAAGCCCTCCCTCCTTTCCCTCCATCCTCATCTTCAAGGGCCTTCTGGGTGGGCAGCGCTCCAGCCTCTACACAGAATTCAGAATAAAGCTAAGAAATCTTGTTAATCAAAGTAAACAGATTTAAGACGTTACCATTGTTGGGTAAGCCTTTGAGTCCCCTGTATATCCTGGTTACTAGTCCTTTGTTGATGATAGCGTGCATGATGTCTTTCACTGGATCAGCGTGCACTACCGTGTGTGGTGTGTTCATGCTGAGAAAATTCATTTTACAAGCTGTGTTGATGGACAGTGATAAAATGCATAAAATAAATTTTTAAAAATAGAAAAAAAAACTAAAAATATATAGTCAACTTAAAAAAAAAAAAGGAGTTAATATTGTCAGCATGAATCTCCTGGGAGCCCATCTGGGCTGAAGCTTTTGGCTAGAGAGACTGGTAACCTCATGATTTTAATGATCATGAAAGGGATCATCAGATTTGAGAAACGCAGACCCCCAGGAGAGGAAGTTTTCCTTTTCTTTCTCTCTTTTGGGTCATTGAGGAACTGATCTCTTATGGGGTCCCCTTATGGGGTGCCTTTCGAAGGTAGAGACTTCCCAGAGAGTCCAGCACTTTCGTTGTTGCTCCGCTGAGCCAGGCAAGGATGGAAGTTTAAAACGCACCCCATAACTCTCTGCCACAGAGCCAGCCTTTCAAACGCTTTCTCCACCTTCCTCCCCCACCCCCCCAGTACAGTATAAAAATAAAGCCTCTTGTTTGTGAAGAGCTGGGCTCCGTGTCTGTTTTCAGCTTCAGACCTTTGGGGCTCCTCTTAGCCTTGTTCGCTGTGAGATCAGTGGAGTAGCATTGTTGAATGGTGCTGAGTACAGGGGCCCCAGGGCTCCTCACAGTAACCGTGGCCTGGGTGCCTCCTCGCAATCCAGAGAAAGGAGATCCCTGCAACATCAAGGGCAACTGCTCTAGGACTCAGGGTCTCACCTGGCCCAGCCTAGCGCTGCCGCCTGTAGTGACTCAGCACTCACCAAAGCGCCCCACTCAGGGCTCTGCGAACACCCGATGCTGGCTCCTGGAGAAAGACCTGTGAAATGAATACACGGTGAACTTCTCAGATGGACAAACCACCATTCTAGCTTACTAGCTGCTTTGCTGTTTTTCACGTTATGAAAAATTCCAAATACGAGAATAGAGTAAATAACACACGAAACTCTGTGGAGACTGTATGCAGCTCTGATATTTCAACGCATGGCCAATCTTGTTTCCTATAGACCCCCACTCACAAGATCTCCCAGCTGGATTTTTAAAGAGCAAATCCAAGTCATTAAATAATTTTACCCTAAAATATGTTATTGTCTATCTTTAAAATATGAAGACTTGAAAAAATTATAATAACATTAGTATGCTTTAAAATTTTATAGTAATTCCTTATGTCACAAATTACCTAGGCAGTATTCAGATTTTCAGTTTTTTCTCCCTCCCTCACTTCTTAATTTCCCCCCCTTCCATGTTTGGTCTGAATCAGGATCCAAATAAGATTAGCTCTTCAGAAATAAATGTTAAATTTCTAGTTGTTTTAATGCTGCATTTTGAGAGGCAGATAGTTGGCCAACTATTTATAGTAGCAGATTTGTATTTATTAAGTTACACTTTCCAAACAAAACTGTTTTCAAGATTTTTCTCCTTTTCTGTCAGCTCCCTGAAACTCCAGAATCCTCCTGGAATTATAAACTTAGCTTTTTCTAGTCTAAGCATCTTATTAAAGATTTTTCTAAACATAGTCCTAGAAAAATAAAAGTACATCAGGAATAGCAGATGGTGTAATGGTTATGTTGCTAGACTCCCACATAGTGGACCACAGTTCAAGTCCTGGCCCCTGCAGCTTAAAACT